AAATTTGTAAAAGTAAGACTTTTTCTTTCTTTCATGTTAGTACTTGCATAAACAAAATCGGTGTCGCCGCACACATACGGTGAGTAAAATTATAAGTGCGTTCTCGATTTAAAAATTTGCGTCCTTTATTGAGGAACCAAATTATTTTTAGATAAATAACGTGCGCAGTCACGAAATTTGAGTAGAGAGTTATTTAAAAAGGCCATAGAAAAAATAGATTCGAATTAATGCATTTCTCTGTGGACTCGCTTTTTTATTCCGTATTTTTGTTATAACCGTCTGGAAAGTACTTTTTTTTCTAAATTGAACTGCTTATTTTACGAGTCTCTTTTACGATATATATATATGCGCGCGTGTGTATGTGTTGGATTCACGGGTGCGCGCGCGCACAGCAACAGACGAATTGCGCTCCTGCTCAAATGAAAATTGACGTATAAAAGCTGGCAGAGCAGTAGCAGTAAGCCCAGAATATATAAATTAAAAATTCGAAAGCACGTATAAAAATCGAGTTAAATAAAGTCAATTTCAGGTTAGCGAGGGTCATTTATTAACGAGCGCAGCTTAATTCAGCTGGTTACACACTCGAGCTAGCCGTCAGTTTGATTATAAAAATGGCCGTGCAAAGGGGTGCAGAGGTGCAGTGCGGCCTATGCAGATAGAGGAAGAGCTGAGCTGGCGGTGTGGTGGCGAGGTCACGCTCTGGTTAGTCCGTGGAGCCGACGGATTCGATAGCGTGTAACTTGATTCATCAGACCGAGCTCTCTCTCTCTCTCTCTCTCCCTCTCTCTGCTTCTCCCAGTTGCTTGTGCGCTTAGTTTGTTCGCAGACAACCATTTACAATTTCAGTCCATCTACTCGGTCGGGCCTTTAAGCCCGCCTGCCGCCACTGTGATACTTTCTGTAGCGGAAAAACTTATCGTCACAAGGTATGGACGTTTTTCTTTATCATCCCTCTCCCCTGTCCATCCCTTGCAACCGAGACTCGCAAATTAGTTTGACGCTCTATTGAATCCACGTATATCAAAGGAATAGTTTGACAGCAATGCTTTGACGTTAAACGTGCTTCTTCCGCTCCCCCCCCCCCCTCTCCTTCCTCCCTACCCAATTTATTTACTCCCGGCCATGCTCTCACTACAGAGTACGAGCACATTGTGCGATCCGGCATTGCCATTGTATCGGATATATAATTAATGCGAGAATTTCAATGGGAATAAAAAAGCGAATAATTATGGATAATTCAGCCGGGCAAGAAATATCCGAAAGCCAAGAGAGAACACCGTCGGCCGAGTTGCGCGTTCGTTATATAGCGCGTATATCGGCATTATTGGTGGTGTTTGCACGAGGATTACGCGAGGCGAGCGCGCATTGCCAGCAGCAGCAGGCTTTGAGCTACGACTGTTTGCAATCGGCCACTACTCCCTCTCCAAGGTTATATCGCTCTTTCGGCCGCACTTCCCTTGATTATGCTAAATTATTGTTAAAATCACACACCGATACTTCCCCTCTCGCGTTACAAGCCCATCCGCTTGAACGGCTCTATTTGCATATTGACCGCGCTCTATCAAGCGCAGCTCCTTCGTTTCTGTTTCCCCTGATTAATTGCTCGCCTTGCTCGCCTTGCTCGCGTCATTTGTTTTACGGTCCCCTCTTCCGGTAGATTGCAATTCTGCGGACATCCGCGGAATGGCTGCACGGAACCGACGTCGTTAATGTTTTGTTAACCATCCTTTTTCCTTCTCGACAAACATCGCTCGATCTAACTTTTCAATCTACTCTTATCACAGCTATTTCGCGGCAACATTCGGTTTTGTTCGGCAAAAGCCGCCCGCATGCGATAAATTTTCTTTTTGCAGTGCTGACCGAAGTAAAATGCTTACTTATGCGTCCTCTACATACGCGACTTTCGACGAGTGCACGTAAGTCTGTGTATATGAAGAGCTTTCCTATAGAAAACCTGTGCCACGTACGATTCATTCAAAGTGGAATATCGAACCGATCGATTGATCCTGCGTGGAATTTATAATTGTTCTCTTTTTACGGAAATATGAGAGTAAAAAATGAAACGGGGATCTCGATGTTACACTGCGCTGCCTCGTAAAAACGAAGACGTCTTCGGTTACAGAGTTATAATTTACTTTGATACGCGGATCGATCTGGAATTCATGCTTACAGCGTCTTCGTCATTGGTGTGTGCAAAGTAAGATTACTTTTACATCGTCTGCATTATTTCCAAACACCCATTATTCAAATGCATCCGCTTCGGCAGTGTCTTTTTTTCCCTTTTCATTATTTTTCCGCAGCAGTCGGTCGTTCGCGTACGAGAAAAGCCTTTGGGCTACCGATCGAAAATGTTAATTCAGCGCGCGCATTCGCATCCGAATCGTGTCATACCCGAGCGCACCTGTGCATTCTCTTTTTGCTCTACGCCAATTTTTCCCTTTTATAATTCGATTGCCGCGAACAATATATATGTATTTATTCCGGAATACGTGCATTCGGCCTACGCGGGTTATCAGCTCTATTCTTGAAATTCTCGTGTTGACGCTCGCGGTCGCATTTTCCTTGTAATTTTCCAGAAAAACGATTCAGTTTGCGCCATTATCTAAAAAATTCTTTTACGAATATTTCTCTTACTATAAGTGAGTTGAAATGGAGAAGCAGTACGCGTACGATTTCTGGATACGATGTTGAACGACATCTGCACGCTACTCTCCAGCTGTCTCCTATGAAAAACTTTTAATTAAAAGTGTCATTTGTTTTTGCAGGTAGCATGAATTTTTCAGCTGTCTTTATACTCTGTGCTGGCTCCTCCCGCAGAAGCGTTCGAACGCTTATTAATTATGTGGCACAAAGTAGATGCAGCGCTTTCATTTGAAAACACAATAAAGGGTTGACACAACGAGAAGCTCGCGCGCCAAAGGAATTAATCATACTCGTTTTATTGCCAGCGCAGTCAAAGCTCGCGTGCACTTTGTCCTGGAATATCGACTAATTTTTTGTTTGCTCGCCAGAAATGTTACGAATAAACCACCGCAAGCGTGCGCGATCCACGAATCGAGAGCAGGATAAACATCGAATCATGCGACGCTAGCTTTTCTTTTCCCACCGACAAGCGCCGTGGCGCTGAGTTCTCGGCTATCAGGAATTTCTCGATCCATTCGAGATGGCGGAACATTCGCAGATCCATCGCCAAAACTGCAATTCTGAAATCGTAAGCCGAGACTCGGTTCTTTTTCCCGCGGTGGCTCTTTGCAAAGAGCGGCTTGTCCACGAGAGAACAAAAAGACACGTAACTCCACTAACGGCGCGAAATCGAGTGCAGGCCAGCAGAAGCTCTCTGGTTCTCGCGTCGGGAAACCGACCGATGGGGAGAGAACACAGAGCGCGGGTCGAAAAGGCGGAGGGGGAAGTCGCGATGCCCCGCGGGCATCGCCTCTCGGTTCGGAAGCGCGCTCGGGCGGAGACACTTCGGCGCTGCCGTACGTGTACGCGGCGCAGCGACTTGAAATATCGGCGACTCGCTCGGGTGCCGGGGCTCTTGCATATTCATGCGGTTTCTCTCGCTCTTGCGCGCACATGTCGCCAGGGCAAGTTTACGCGGCGCGCGCGTCACGGCCGCGGGAGAGGGCCCTGCACCTTCGCTGCTTAGGCGCGAGGGGGCACGTGACACCTTGCGCGCGTCAGCTCCCTAGTTCCCTAGCCGACGTGTTGTGTAGCGCGCGCGTGCACCGTCGCCGCGCCAACTTCTGATGAATGTGGTTTGTTCGTCCCGTCGCGCTCCCGCGATCGCTTCCCTCGATGCATTGTTGTCCGCATTTTATTCCACGTACTTTTGGCCATCCCGACGCGTTAATCAGGGCCTGCGAACAGCTTTGTCGTCGAACTCGAGCCTGAATTATATTCCTGGGATCAACGGCATTGACTCACTCGTAGGAATTATTATTGTATAGTTATGTAAGCGTTTTCACGGTATCCAACGCATTGTCCCGAGCTTATTGGATATGGAATTCACCGATAGTCATTGTTCGCTTATTTGAGAAACAAATGTTTTCAAAACATCCTGGGATATACCTGCAGCTTTAGATTGCTGTTGCGCCGCAGCCAATCGCGCGCTTCCTACCCTGCGTCGTTTTTCGTCAAACCTGCGAGCGCAAGAACAACACCGGCGACGCCGGCGCTCATGAATGCCCAATCCCCGTGACGTCGATCGCGGCATCGAGAAACGAGGAACTGGCGCATTTTCGAGCGAGTCCTCGCGGGCGGTCGCGCGAGCTCAAGCTCTCATCCGCACGCGCGTCGCGAGTTTCGGCAAAGGAAATATTGGCGAATGAATCAGGAGCAAGGCAATGGGCTGTCCATTCGTCGGGCAAGCCACGAAGGAGCGAGCGTTTGATCGAGGGCATCATGTAGCGGAGCAATTTGTTTCTCCATTCCGCGGGCGGCTTGAAAAATCTCCCAATCGCCGAAGCTCGCTCGCGAAAATATCCGTTCGTCGGCGTATCGATCGCTCGTCGCGACAGCGCCTCTCTCTCCCTCGCTCTCTCTCTCTCTCTCTCTCTCTCTCTCTCTCTCTCTCTCTCTCTCTCTCTCTCTCTCTCTCTCTCTCTCTCTCTGACGAAGACGAGAGAAACCTTTCTACTCTCCGCTCGTGTTATGCGCGAGAAGAAGCCCCGCCGACTGGTTTCGGCGCGAGCGAGGCACAAGCCCGCGAGTACAAGCATTGGGCGCGATAAAAATATTATTGAATGTCTGCCTCGCGCGCGAGGCACGTGTGCGCTACGTGTCGCCGGGGCTGATTTGCCGATGTAACGAAGGCCAGAGCGCGCGCGAGAGGAATATAAGGATTCGATTCGCTCTACGTGCCTTGCGCTCGCTCGCCCCGCGGCGACCGACCGCGACTTTGTTACTCCTGGGGCCGCGTTCTCCCCTAATTCCTCCCGTGCGTACGGGCGCACGCGAGCACGGGAGTGTAATTGAAACGACAGCCTTCTTCTACTTACCCATTCTTCACGAAGTTGGCGAAATACTGGATAATGTTCTCGGACAGGGCGACTTCGGCTCGCGTGTAGTTCCTTGGGAAATGGCCGAAGCCGTCGACTAATGGCGCGCCGAAGACGAAGGGCAGCTCTTCTCCGTGCACCGAGCCCATTTTCTGCAAGAAACAGACGTGCCAGCTCTAATCAACCAATTTATCAGGCTGGCTAGCCAAGCCTCTCCTTCCCCCCTTGACTTTCGTCGTGCTCGCCGGCATTCGTTACGATTTCTTGCCGCTCGCGGCAGCGGCGGCCGACGTTCTTTAATTCTCGCGGCTTGAGCTACGGGCTTACATAAATTGTTTGCCCGTTATCGCTGCGAGAGAAGCTTAACGGTCACGGATAAGCCGTTGTCTTCATTTGCGGCTATTCGCATGCCAAGGACCCTGCTCGATCGCACTCGAGGCTTCGAGTGGGCTGTGCATTTGTGCGTGGATATCAGAGTCAAGCGCAGAGGTGAAAAAGTCATTGGCCTCGCTCAGAACTTCACTGCAATGGATTTCGCTGTTGCTCTCTTGTCCGCATCCGACGCACCACCGCGAGCTTTCAGAGCTGCCTGGGCGCAGGCATCGTTAAATTTGATTTCCCGTTAGAACAGCCGTAAAAATGTCAATTACAATGCCGACGCTTTCAGCTGGCGTCTTCCCTCTCCCGCTCTCTCTCTCTCTCTGTCTTTTGCGACCTAATGGAATATCCCGACTACAGATATACATCTACTGCAGCGACTAATCGAGCTTTTAATAAAGCTCATGACAAAGAGACGACCGTTGGAGTGCAATCATCAGATATGATTACGACTCGCTGCCGGTTATTTGTTGAATTTGCTGCGAAACGAGCGAAAAACGCTATGTTCTTGGAGGCTTTCTCCGTATCTCGGTAAAGCGACGTGCAACAAGATCGCCCAGCTGATGTCGGCTTCCTTTATTATAATCGACTTAGCTGCGCTGACACCGAAGCTACTTTCATTTCGAAAATCTCGCGACGCTGCGCTCCGCGTTTGTCTTAATTTAGCGCGGATGCCAGCGAGAGTCTCATATTTCTTCCCGATACCGAGGTGCTCTACCTCCGCGGAATACGCGCTGTGTGTTAGCAGATTTCAGCTCGGTAAATACCCAACGTTGCGTTTTAAGCTGTCCTGTCGTAGAAATTAAATTGACGTCCTTGCAGTTTGCTACCTTCCTGTTAACAGCTCCTTTCGCAGCTTATGTTTCGACCTCGCGAAATCCAGAGAGTATTTAATTGTTCGTTGCCACGTTGCACGCACAAGTCTAAAATTGACATCTGTCAGTCAGCAATGTCACGGTCGTCGACGCCGATCCGATCAACTGAAAAATTCAAAGTTTTGTTCGTGTGCCGTCGCCTTTTTGCAAAATGCTGCGCATCGACCTTGCGGCCCTGATGGAAATAGATATTCAATAGTAAAAATAAAGCCACCACAAGTTGATTGCGTCGTATTGATCTCGAGAAAGCCAATTTTGACATTGAAATTGGCCGCCGCTGGCGCGGGCGGTAACCTCGTTTATCTTCGCAAAAATAAGGCCAAGCAGAGCTAAGCGTTTGAGGGGCCAAGTTCGAATTGAAAAAATGAAACGAGGCAATCGGAGACTCAACAAGCGTCATTGAAACCGACAGGTTGTGAAAGAAGGTAAAAAAAAGAAAAAAGGCGTAGGTATCGGTGCGTGACGTAGCCGCGCCCAGCGCCGTCGATCAAACCGTCGCCCTAATCCGCTTCCATCGCAGCACCAGCGCTCATAAGACGTGTCCACCGGCTGGAAAAGCCGCTCTCGCGCGATATAAAGAGCAACGTGCCGGGAATCCCGGCGCTCATATCCCGGCGCGGTGACAAAAGGCGCGAGAGAGCGTCGCGCAAGATTTACGCGCCCGGCCGCAACAGCTCACCTTTCCTCAAGTTTCATTTATTTCGACGCTTGCCGCCGAGAGAGCGCAGCCTTCGTAATTTAGAAATATTGTTTGCGCTCGTTACTCCCTCCATCCCCCCAGCCCATGGCCATCTCTTTTTTTATCCCGGAGCCGCCCGGGCACTGGGCTTGTTTTTCAAACTGCGTTACGAAAGTTTCGAAGCTGTGCTTCCGCTAACGCTCCGAAAAATCTACCTGCAAATAGCCTATTATTCAAATGCGGCCGGGCGCTTGCCTCGTTGGCCGGCGCAATTTTTTTTCTTTTTCTTTTTGATCGTGTTTATGGCGCTTTTGAAGCTTTAGATACAAGTGCTATTGGAAAAGAAACACTTTCGGGGAGTGCAAAAAAAATATTGATGGAGGCCAGAGAGGTTTGAGCGGTTCTGTATATTGCTTTTTTTAGAAAATGAACATAGTTTTCGATAAAAAATAAAGCCCTGTATCGGAGTTCGAATAAACCAATTTCAGCTTTGCACGATAAATGGAAAAAGAAATTGCGAGACATAGAGCAGCTGAAGAGTACGTGGCCAATTAAAGGAGATCTGAACTGACGAAAGAAAGAAAAAAGAAGAAAAAAGAAGAAAAAAGAGAATATATTCGGGCCGTGGAAAACAGCGATGGAGAGAGGCGTGGCAGGAAAAGTAAGCGAGAAACAACACTCCAGAAATATAAGAGCAAAAGCTAATGGGAAAGCGAAACTCTCGAGAGTGGGAGGGATGAAAAGCGTGTAAATCTCGCGGTCGCGCAGCCGCTGACAGGGTTGCTGGCACGTAAACGTTGCTGGTAAGTAAAGCTTGCACCCAGGAGAGGCAAGGTACGCACGCGCACACCGGACGGACGATTGCGCCTTGTACAAACGCAAAGAGCACACGCGCAAAGGGCTTGAGAATCCGTCTCCCTATATATTTTCGACCCCCGCCCTCTCGAAACGCTTTCTGTGCATCTGCAACCACTTCTACTATTGAAATTGTTGTGATTTTTCATTGGAAAATTCTTGCATTTTGGAAGAGTGGCTGCATTTTCTGATATTTAAAAGCCTTCGTAGCATTACCGTTCAATAGCGTTCATGAGGACTCGCACAATAGCCGTGATTCGACAAAATTTCCAGCTTGACTTGTGCAACTTTTTGTAGCTTTTAAACTCGTTTGCCAACAGTCATCTATATGAAATAAAAAATTTTTTTAAAATAATCCAGATACGAGTCGGTTTTTACTACAGAAAACAAATTCCTTTACGGGTACGACAGTGCTGATATATTGAAACGCATCAAGGAAATGGAAAGAGATTGACAGCCGAATACAAAATGTTGAACGCACTGAAAAGAGAAAGTTCCTTCTTTTTAAGCCCAAGAAAATTCACATGCAGAATCGAATCGCCAAGCGAGCGAAAAGTTATGAAAGCCCCCGACGTTTACCGACGCTCTCGAGTTTTCCCGGTTGGCTGGATGAATGAATCATGCGTCGCATCATTGTTTAACGAACGAACTCGTTTTCGTCGTCTTATCAAAGCGTCGCCGAGAGCTCGACCTCTCATTATCTTTCGATTTTTTAACCCCCCTCCTGCCGTCTCTTCCCTGCAGACGACGCTCGACCCCTTCATCATCATCTTTTCGCGCTCCCTTCGCTTTACACTCCAGATCCCCGGACAAACAAGTGCAATTAAATTTCAGATTCGGAGATAACAGCCGAGTGCTGACTAAACGCTTATTTTTAATTTCTCAACAAAGATAAAACGATTTTTAGGTTTATAGAATTGTCTTCTCAAGAAAATCCTCCCTTCTTACTGTATTAGACTTACGATAATTACGGAAGATTGATATTTAAAAAAATTGCTCGTTAAATTTCACTCGCCGTAAAGACAATTTTACTCCAGTATTTTGGAAATATTCCGAATATTTTGTGACTTGTTGGCCACCGTGGGAAACATGAAACTGTTAGGTGAATCTACAGGTAAGCAAAGGCCGCTATCCGAATTGGTCAGAGTGAACTATAAAAAAAGTGGTTAAGGGAATGCTTGAAAACGATCAAGAAGCGTTGAGTAGTGAGCTAATAGCTGTGTTAATGAAAGGTAAAGTTTGCCTGAAGTAAGCTGGAGCGTAAAGAGCATATTTTCAGGGAAATAACGCGTGGAGTAGTTGTGCACTTGAATTACAGCTCGGTAAAGACAGAGGGAACGCCGCGGCGATAAAACTACTGTATTTAACACGGCCACGAGCACCATTAAGAACGCGCGCGTTTACTAACTTTTTGCCGAAGCTAAACGGCGCACTGCGAACAAACAGATAAACAAAACGATCGCATTCCCTGCCACTGCGCAACCTCGCGCAACCTCGCGCAGCCTCTCTCCTGTCTTTATTGCGCGGTGCAGCGGCTCAAATTTCGCAGTTACTTTGTGTCATTTTTAATTCACACAGTGGGCCAAACGACATCGAGACGGCCGGTCGCCCATTTGCCGGACGAGTTGGATCGCAAGCGCGGAAAATAAATAGAGGCAGCGAGCAAGGCCGACGTGATTTCGCGCGCATATCGCGTTTCGCGGCTGACTTAACAGCGTTCGAGTTTCCAATCTCACTCTGTCAGGCCGGAAAAGAGAGTCGAGCCGTACCCGCCGCTTCGGCAGCGCGGTCCAGTTTTCCCCCTGCGACCACAGCACGAAAATTCGAAAAGTTGCATGCTTATTATTTCGAGTCCCGAGGCGCAAAGAAGAGACGGCTCGGCAGCCTCCACTTTCTCGGCTTTTTCTCCGCTTCTCGCTGGGAGTTATGCGCTTCTAGTGGGGAAACTTAGTTGGAGGTAGCGGGGAGAAGAAGGGCGCGCGCGGCCAAGTTTCCTCGTTACCGTTATTCGTCATTTTGTTCTGTCTGGCGTGGGGCCGCTGCGGACGAGGGGACGATTTAGAGCCTCCGCGGCTTTCCAAAAACTTTCGATAATAATCTAATTTTTCAAGGTGCCCGGGCGCGGACGAGCCTCGGCTACTTTTTCCACGCGCCCTGCTTTAATGCTTCCTAAGTGGATTTTACTCTTATTCCCGCGAGCTTTGCATTTCCATGATAAAGGCGCACTTTTGCCGAGTTTAGTTTTTACGAGTGAAAGTATTTGTTCAAGTAGCTACCGAGTTATTCCTTTGAACGCTTATTCCAACGGCAATTGTTGCTTTCGTTTTACATTTTTTCCATCTTACCTCGCTGCTGCCATTATCATAATAGCCTTTCAATTAATACGCTACTTGAAAATGACAAGCTTGGCGAACTGGTAGTTTAACGTATTTTCCACTCAGAGCCTCCAGTGCAAAATATTTTATTTTTCGGAAAGACATGAAACATCTCCAAAGTTCAGCTCTACGCTTCATATTCAGGTATAACTTTATTTTGAGGGAATTTCAATGAGGTTAATTTTCTCCAAAAGAACATCTTCCTCTTAAAAGCAAGTTGCTTTTAAATACCAGTCATCGACGTTGTGCGTTTCAAGTTTATTTTTACTTTTTCCAATTGTTATTTCAGAATTTTATTAAACAAGCTTCAAATTTTTGGCTTAGAGGCAAAATTACTTCAACTTTTTTCCGATAAAATTTTTATAGAAAACATCAGGGGTTTTCATATCAATCGCCAACGAAACTCCTTAACTCTTTCACTAAATACGCATATTAGGTAAACATTTGTGAAATAAGTAAACAAAATCTGTTCGATGATCACGGCTAAACGCAGAGCTTATGACAATCGCGCAATCTCGCCAGCCAATTAGTCGGGTTCTTATACATGTTTGAATTCGGAATTGAAATTTATATTTTATAATATTCCGTTCGACATATTTTGCATACAGTGAAAATGCACAATTGTTAACATAATTCAATTTGAATTTGTTTCCGTAATAGTTTCATTCCACGTGGAACCGATTACTTAAAAATAATTCCGCAGCACATGAATATGAACAAAGAGAAAACGTTGCAATGCAATTATTTTTTGAATTTCCGCCAACCTCGGTTCTTCCCTTTCTTGCAACTTCATGCGAAATTTACGAGGACGAGGCATCTCGCTCTTGCAGTTAAGCGGCAAGTCCGATCTAAAAAATGTGACTCCGCGGGTCGCAGTGGTAGTGCGATATTTAATTAGTCGCGAAACCACGGCACTCGTGGTCGAACAAAAGGAACAGCGGCATGAAGTGGGCCGCAATTCGCGCAAGTGAAATTACACACCGTTTCGAGAGCGGCGTGCGCTAGGGCGAGAGAGCGAAGCCGACACCGTGAGTAACGCACACCGATAAGGCGGCTGCGCGCTACCGCGGCATTCTTGTCGCTCGGCAAAGCTAATTATGCTCGCGCGCGCCTCTGGATGGAGACGTTGCGGCCGCGAGATCTATGCTCGAGGGAGGACAAAGTTCCCGTTCGCGCAATACGTAACTTTTCTCGCGGCGCCTGACTCTCGGTTAGTAACCGCGAAGTGCTCTCCTTATTTTCCTTTTCCGCCTTGGGGGCAACGGAGAGACGCTCAAGTTGCAAAGTTACGTGGCGTGCGAGCGCCAAGAGTGATCGGCGCGGCCGACGCGCGACTCTAATTAAATATTAGTCGGCTGCTTTATCGGAAAGCGCGTGGGGCGTCCTTCGCGCGCCCGGACGTAGCAAAGTTTTTCAGGAGCGAACGCGGGTGCCCGGCCTGATTCTTCCTATTACGTGGACCTCGTCGAGTCGCTGGTAATTATCGGCGCAGAAAAGACGCCGTCGATGAGATATTACTGGACGATCGGTTTGCCCGGCTTCTTTCTGCGTCCGTTTAATTTTTCCTTCGCCTTCTTTTTCTTCGTCGAGGCGTGTTAAACTTTTTTCTGGCGTTGTCTCTCCTCCGCCATCCCCCTCTTCCCCTTTGTTACACATCGGTCGAGGCTCGCTTAGGCTGAGCACGCTTAAATGAAGCTCGGAGATTTGTCAGCTATCTCCTTGTCTCCCTTTCATCGTCAATAGTATTTTTGCATTAGTTTTTGCACCATCCTCTCCCGTGTGCTTTCACCGTCGCAACGTACCGCGAATCCTTTTTTTCCTTCATGCCATCTCTCTCTCTCTCTCTCTCCCTCTCTCTCTCTCTCTATTTCCCTTGCGGGAGAATCGAGGAATAATTAATTTTTACGCTCATCTTTGTCATTTCATTTTTAATTAGGAAAGCTTTAACGGCTGGCGCTCAGTCGGTCTTTTTCCACGCCTTGTTAATTGGAGCATCTTATAAAACTTTTTTTCACTCTTCGCGCTAAACACAGTGCGTTTGTAATGGGAGCTGTTTTTTATTTATATGGCTTCATATTTTTGTCATTGCTTTTAACTACACTCTGTTCTTCGATTTTCTAAAGATTATGTATGCGTCCTTATTATTTTACTCATACAAAAAGAGCTTCCTAAAGAAAATGTTCAAGCGCCTTTCAAGATCGTTCCAACAAAAATTGAATCATCGAGTAAATATAACCCAACTGTGTAATCGTCAACATTTATTTCAGCATTTGTAATTGTACCTCGCACGATTACCTCTCGGACGTGTTCTCACGCGATAATTGCAGTTAGCTTAAAACTTGTTGTCTCTGCTTGTTTGACTGTGATATCCGCATTAAAATTGCGCGCACGCGAAAAGTAACATTACCATTGCAAGTCGAGTCGATGCAGGACAGCTTACCTGAGGATAATCGCCGTCTTTCATCTGGTAGTCGAATACGTAAAAGTAAGTTTTAGGCAGCGGCTCTTTGTCGGCATCGTGAACGGGAAGCGGCGCGCCGTGCGGCCTCTTGGTGTGCCTCAAGGTAAACAGGTCGCCAGTTTGCACGAGTGGCGCCACGAATTGTGCATCGCTTAGCGCCTGCACACACGCGTCCCGCGTGTTCATCGGATGCTGCACCGTTCGCTCCCAGTCTGTGTACTCGTTCACGATCTGTCAAATCATCAAGATTCAAGCGCTCGTATCAATGCTCCTTGAAAATTGCCAGAACTCGGAAGTTCCTTAACGTCAACGAAAGCTTTTCGACCTCTTGCGATTTGACTTTCATATCGAATGTTAACAATGCGATTGGTAGTTGCGTCATTTGATTGACGAAAACGTGTTTCACTTGTCCTATTATTTTTCATCAATTGATTGTAGACCAAAAATAGCAATTTCCAACAGAATACAACTTCGGTCGGATAAGATAAAAGAAGGTTGATCGAAGCTTGGTAAAATGGGACGAAATATCATTCGGATCATTCGATATTTATCAACGATATCGACGGCGTATTGCCCCATTCAAATGCACATTCGCGGTATACGCTGTGGAGGTATCCACACGGCAGGCGCATAGGCTTATCCGATGTACGTACTTTCGTGGAACGGTGAGCGGCAATCCGCCTCATAAAATAACGGATACCGATTGGGTTTAGACAATACGAACTTGCAGTAAACATGATTTTGGCCAAACAAGATAGAAATATAGGTTGATCGAAGCCTGGTATAATGGGGCGAAATATCATTCGGTTAATTCGATATTTATCAACAATACCGCCGGCATATAGACCCATTCAAATGCACATTTGCGGAGCGCGTCGAGCGGGTACGCGGACGATGGGCGCTTGGATGCGCATCTAATTAACGTATTTTCGTAGAACGGCGAGCGGCAATCCGCCTCGTAAAATAACGGATGCCGATCGGGGCTGGGCTGGACGGCGAAGGCGAGAATCGGCGGCGAAACGGCGAATTGCGAAACGGCTCGATTACCGCTTTACCATTGAGCGGCGCTAATTTCCAGAGAAGCTGGTGCGCGCTCCGAGCGATTTTAATCGAGGAGATGGCCCGTCCATTAGTAATACAACTTTGCCGCTGTGGCGCGCGCGCACGTACGCCTTTTTGTCTCACTGCCGAGCGCGAAGCTAATCTGAATTAACGCGCTTGGTACGCGAGCACGCCAAGCTTTTTCCCCGTCCCCGATTGTTTACCCGGGCGGCGCTTTTGCACGGATTTATCGCTCAAAGGCTGGCCGACTTTACTGCCGCGGCGCCGGCTATTAGATTTGATTTTCCAGGAGCGCTAGCGCCGGGCGCGCCGTCTTTTATTTAGCGAGAGACCCATCGCGTAATCTTCGCTAACGAAGGCGACAGCGCTTCCGTGAATCTGCGCTCGCTGCCGCATGCGAGCGTTCGGCTGCAGCGCTCCGGGAAACGTCGCTTTTCACGATTGCCATCTGCGACTCACCGTGTAAAATATCTCGGTCAGGTGGTACATGTAGGCGTTGCGCACGTAGGTCCTGATGATCCTGTCCCTGCGCTCGCCCTCGAAGCCTTTCTGCAGGTCTCGCTCGGCGAACCTCCACAAGGCCTCGCTCGTCGTCACGCCGAACAGAAGATCGTACTTGTTGTTGCTGGTAATGGCCTCGCCGTGTTCCGACTTCTTGGGCATCAGTCTGCAAGAGAGCAGTGCGCGGACGTAAGGCGGAGCCGGGACTCCCCTCGGGGGACGAGTTAGTGACGAATGGCCGTCGGTCGAGTTATTTACGCCGCGGCACGGAGGCAGCCGGCGAATTCCCCGGGGCCGAATTCCGACGGACTTTTACGGAGAGCGAAACTTGCCGGGGCGTAAACTATACGATTACCCTGATAGCTCGCCGCGCGAGTCGCGGCTGATAGGAGTGCCGGCGGCCGTCGCCGAGACCCGCTCGACCCTCCGAATAATTGCGAATAATTCGTTTACGCGCTGCGCCCTGCGTACGTCACCGGCGGCACCCTCGAGCGCCCGTCGCGAGCGACTCTCGCGGACTCAACTTTCGACGCGCGAACGCGAAATGCCGAACGGGCTGCGCCCTTATCCCGCTGCGGGCTGCTCTCGGCGTTGCGCCAGGCGCGCTGAAATTTCAAAGCGTTCGTATAACGTAAGCGTCAAAGCGCCGGCTAAATTTGGCGGCCGAAACGCTGCCGCGGCCGCATAAATTAAACGCCGTACAATCGAAAGCGAGATAGCGCGCTGTAAATTACAATCGCCAATTGGCCATTTGTCAGGCACGGAGGAGCGAGCGGACGAAGGCGAGGCCAACGTGATAATAATATATTGAACTCACCCGAAGCCCTGGAATTCGGGGCCGAGGTAGGAGAGCAGATCCTTCTGGAAGTCGGGCTTGATGACGACCCCGTCGACGCTGGGGGCGAAGGCGCTGAGGAAGGTGGGCGCCCTGACGTCGGAACGGAGCAGGGCCTCGAGACTGCTCTCGCGCAGGCAGTCTACCAGTAACTCGTGGTCCTTGAGCAAGTCCTCCGGCACCGAGCAGTTCATCGCCTTGGCGAGCTTCAGCGCGTACGAGACTGGCTCCTCGACCGTCGCCCACGACGACAGCGCGCTCCCCGACAGCAGGATTGCTCGCTTGAACAGCCCTGCAACCGAACCCGGTTCGCCCGGTTCTCGATACAGTGCCCGTTGCTCTTGGCTGGATTCGGAGCGAAGGCATAAATAATCTGTCGTCGGCCGGCAGATCGTTTACCGTACGACGCACGCCTGTGAGAACAAGAATATCGGGCCCGTCTAGATGCAGACCAATTGGATTTTAGCCTGACTCTAGGGCGCAATCCAGTAAAGTGCTCTCGCGAGTCGGCATCGCGAACAAAAGTTCGGGCTCGCCCTGTCTGCGCGCGAAAGGCGAAGGCTAGCTGCATCGGACACGAGCGGAGAAGGAGAAGAGTCGGCTTACCAGGCATCACCGTTGGACTGATGGCCAAAAAATTGACGCAGGCGGCTCCGGTGCCCTGGCCCATGAGCGTCACGTTGCCGGGATCGCCGCCGAAGTACTCGATGTTCTGCTGTATCCAGTGCAGCGCGGCAATTTGATCCATAAGTCCGTAATTGGCCACCCGGGCTTTCGTATGCGGCGAGACATTGGCATTCAAGAAGCCGAGCACGCCGAGACGATAATTGAGCGTGATGACGACCAGCTCGGCGTAGCTGGCCAGTATGGAGCCGTCGTAGGTGTTGCCGCTGCCCCAGTCGTAGCTCTCGCCGTGAACGAACACCAGGACCGGATGTCGCCTGCCGCCCTCGGCCATACCTGCGCAAAAAGCCCACGGCGGCGAGCTGATTAGCATCTGCCGTCCGATCGTATCGACTGGCGCGCCGCATCGATCCACCGTTAAAGCTGCAATTACAGCGGTATTGGGGTATCCCGGTCCGCTCGCGAGGGCTGCTTACCGAATTAAGCGGTCAGCTCAGCTCCGCTGACGCGACCTAATCCCATCGTTCGTTTCCATATTACCGGAATATTCATATTCGCCGCTCGACAGAGATGATAAGGTCCCGCCGAGCCCGCCTATGCCTAGCCGCCCGGATTTAGCTTTACAAAAGCTCTACGGACTGCGCTCTACACCGATACGTTGTCCGTCAGCAGTCTCGCTGTAGCCTTTCTATTCCTCCCTTTTCGGAGTCCTTATTTTTCTTTGTTCATCTTTCTTCTTTGTCTTATTTGTTCCAAATGGCACTTTGAGCGAAGATCTTTGGACCTACTTCATAGTTTTACATGAAAAATTTTACTCTCAGTCAGAATAAAAAAGACACTAATCGGGTTAGTACATTGTCAGAGTTTGGCGGGTGTAACCGGAAAATCGAGCCTCGGGTCCTGTGGTTTTTCGTGGCGCGGCTGCGCGCTACGTGGCGTTCGTTAAAATTACAGCTCGCAAGTGGATACCGCTGCCGGCCTATGATCATTATCGGCAGTTATCCCACCAGGTATACTTTTCTTGAAAATCGAGTTTCCGAACATGTCCCTTATTTGATTAAGAGCTCGAGTGGAGTTTATCGAGGTACATTTTAGGGACGTATCCCGTGCTTTTCGCTGCCGCGGCTTCAACGCTCGTTTCTCGGAAATCCGGCTTCCAGGAGAGCTCAAAAGCTTCGTCGAGTTGTCCTGGTGGATAATATCCGCGCATACGAATAGAAAGGGAACACCTACATCAAGCGATTTCAATTAAAGTTTCAAGTTAAGCTGGAATCTTGACTGGACGACGAGCAAATAAGACAATATGATAACAGATTGGTCAGAATGCGACAAGTATTCTTGATCAAGGTTATCCAGTATCGAAACGAGCCAAAAATGCAATTACTGGTAGCACTTACACGAGTGGCTCGTACCTCGCTTGCTGCTGCGCTAAATCCTAATATAATTATGTTCTCAGTAAGGAGAAAAAGTTGGCGAGATCACGGCAGAGAAATTTTACGAGTCTGACATTTTCGAGGAAGTGTCTCAAAGTTCGTGCACGTAAAGATAGTTCGAGTCGAAAATGCGAAATTCTCAACGGCGCGGCTTCTTTTCCCCGCGAGGAGACGAAGCGCGAGAGGAGGGGAGGGAGGGGGGCGTCAGGGTAGAGCTGCTGAGCAGGCGCGAGCACCTCGAAACTTTGCCAGCGACGTAGAAGCTCGATTTGATTAAGCAGAAAATCGGAGCGCCGCAGCTCTGTTGCACGCGTACCTGTTCGCTTCGCGCGGCGCCCACGCGCAGGTGTACAGAATTCTGCCTCGTCAATGAGATGCCTCGACGTATCGACCGGAGTCCTTGCGCAACGAGGGAGCAATCGTCCTGCGCAGCGCAGATCGCGGGAAGGGAAGACAGCTGTTTCTTGGTGCGTACCCATTGTCGTTGAATAACGCAGAAGGTCATTAATTTGGGTCGTCTTGATTCATCCCACGGGCGCTCAATAATTATTTGCCGTAAGGCAAACGGAATGGCAAGTGAGCTCGGCCGTCGTCGAGGACAGCGAATAGTCAGTTCGATGCCAGTTCAATCGGAGATTCGAGAGCGGTAGCCCCGTAGAAGCAATGTAGGGACTGGCTGTGACAGAGATAAACTCAAGTGCAATAAGCGATCGCTGTTTCACTGCGGCTGACTCCTTGGGCTAACCGTACATTTCGTACAACGTAATTAATTACGCTCTTGAATTCGTCATGGGCGACAAATTCAGCATTTCCGATCTCAAGTAGATCGATGACTCGTCGTGCACATATCTCTGAATCTCACTCGAGTAAATCGGCTGACGCGAGTGCATTTGCAGATAGAGGTGCACCTGAACACCTAGCGGTTATATAGTACAGCGTGAGCGAGGTAGCGAGGGCAAAATTCAACGGCACTTAAGTAATCCTGCATATTTGACGGGGTGCGTGTATGTAGTCACTCTTGCGCGCGCGCAAGTTGGCAAAGGGGGTAATCGCAGATTTGCACTACACGATGAGCGTTTAGCCGCGCACTCCGAGCGCCTAAGCCGACCATCGGCTCGTTGGATATTCCGGCGTGGATGTGTGTCGCAGCAGCAGCAGCAGCAGCAGCAGCAGCAGGCGCCACTCGACGCAAGCGAGCTGCTTTGCGAAAGTGCAATAACGGCGCGACAGTTCGTTTTTTCCTCTTGCCTCTGCTCGTCCGGGGCACGCAAGAGATACATCAAGCCAGTCCAATCTTGGCACGGGGAATTTTGCGTAGCGCGCGCCCGCTAATTAATTGCGGCGGGACTCGATCGAAGAAAGGCAAACACGGACACGCGAGTCTGGATATCAGCAATTATAGCGACCAAGGGTAATTCAGTGTGTAATGAAGACCTCCCGGCTAACATTTTGAGCGTGAAACAGATCTTTGCCTTGGTGGAGAATTTCGACGAGTAACGGGACATACCGCGAAGTTGAAGGGCAGGGCAAATATTACTTTAAACTTTCCATTGACGGGCATAACCTAGGGAGTGTCGACAATTTTCAGGTTAACCGTGGTGACTCGCGCGAGCAAATCGAGCGGTCCTTTATTCACCGTGGTGCACACCACTGGTAAAGGAACGACGAGCGCGACTGAAAGTCACTCTTTGCCCAGCGCTTCGATAAGAAACAACGAGCTTTGTCTTTTGTTTTCAGCGGATGTTTCATACTTGGACTATTCAAAACGCGCAGAAGCCGAGCGTAGCCGATGAGTTTCGCAGTCGAACGCGACTCTCGCGACGATTGGCCTGCTCCCCAAGGCGATGGCGTGAAACTAGCAGAGTAAATCTTTTTATCATCCGGGAAATGTATATTCTGTATCCGGCCACGCTTACGTCCCTCGTAAACGCGAATCGCTGCCCTCGACTAGCTCTGCCGCGAGAGCTTCCCATCGGCAATTCAATTTATTCCCACCTTCCTCCTCCTCTTCCGGCACGCGCGCGCGAAAGCTCCTCGCGATGGTTTCATATTCGCCCTCGATCAGAGCTTATAAAACTGACTTCCTTTGCGTTTGACTTTCGCCTCCAGCCGCCGCATTTGAATTTCAAATCCAACTTGTAGCATTGATCAGAATGAATATCGAGCCGTCATCGATCGCTTTGTCAAGGCTCGGCAGATGAACGAAACCTCGGAACTATCGCGGTCAAGTATATCGATCGCCGCCAATTGTAAGTTAATCTCGCGAAATAAGAATGGAATTTGCATTTTGTAAGACACAATAACGCAAGGGAGCAAACTCAATCTCGCCGCGATCCGCCTTAAGCCCTCCGTCGAGGAAACAGGCAGGCAGGCTGTAACAGCAGCAAGCGACGTCAAGTCAAACTGAGAGGGACGAAAGGAGGGCCGGCAGTCTAGGAAGCGTATATCGGTTTCGAGCTGCAACTTCGGCTCCCGAGATTATATAAAGTCCGCATACCTTCGCTGATAGTTAATGCGCTGGTATACAGCAGTAAACAGTATAACTGCGTACCAGTAATTGCGAGCAACTCGGAATTCTTCGCCCGCCCCTCCGTCTTATCCACATCCTTTCGCTTCTCTGACTCCCTCTTGCGCAGATTAATTAAGTCCGGGGCGCCAGCTTCACTTTATTTTAGCCGTTAATCTTGTACGCGGAAAAGCTTTCATTGGCGAATTAATAACCACCGCTTTTATTTGAGCGGCGATGAGCTTTATGTAATCATGAATATTCAGAGCAATCGAGTACCGACGACGCTATTTTTCGTCTACCAGCCACCTTTTCACTCTCCTGCAAAAACATAAAACGTATTCGGCTATATTGATTCCTTTTAAAGCTGGCCGCTCAATCCAGCACGCATGATTTTGATCTCGTTGTTCGGCTCGAGCGCAACCTGGCCTCTCTGTTATTTGTAAAAAGAAAAAAAAAGTGCAACACAGCGAGCGCTTCGCTCGACAATAAAATTGTTCCGAATAGGTCGCGCGGAAAGAAAAAAAAATAGCGGCGAAAAGGGCGTCGGTCAGAGGTCGACAGTAGCTGGGGCGCCGTGTGGGGGACCGAGCTCGTTTTTTCCCTGAGACTTCCACAGGGCAACTCGATATTTTCTCGTTTGCTCTCGATAAGTTTGTTTAATCGTACTTCATAGATCTTCGCACGAGTGCGCGCTCGCCACGTAATCTCCCTGAAAGTTTGCGTGGGGGCGCATTTGTCCGGGCGGGCTCTCTGTTCTTTTTTTCACTTTCGCTCGATTGCGAGGCGTGACGCCGGAATTTTCCTACGAGTTCACTTGTAAAGTTGTGCAGCCGGGAAATCACAAGTGGGCAGATAAGCCCACGCACGGCAAGCTGTTGCCCTCGGCTCTTCATCACCGTTCGTTTATCGATTGCTGCTTAGCCACGCGGAGGGAAGCAACAGAGAAACTATGCGTGCGCGCGCGCGCGTATGTGTATACTCGTATCAAGCGGAAGCCGATAGTTCGGGTATTCGAAATCGTTTACGATATTAACTGTTAATCATCGTTATTCGCGATGCAATGAAATGTGCTGTCCTGACATTTCACTTTCGTGATTACCTGCACTTGATGTATAATCTGGCCTAGCTTCTCCATTCGATATGCCCGATAGCTCAATGATTGTTCGTGTCATTTGTATTAGGCAAGCTTTGGAGTATTGTTAATGAATTGCTCAGAAATGTATACATTGATGGTATAACGTAACAGTTTAATTGTCGGAATAATGTCGACCTTATATTATATTAAAGGATTAGAAGAGAAAAGTTTTGAAAATCGAAATGAATAAATTACCACGATCTTCGTAATAAAATATTCGAATAATTATACTCTGTCAATTACAAGAGTAAAAGAAAGT